ATATAATATAATATAATATAATATAATATAATATAATATAATATAATATAATATAATATAATATAATATAATATAATATAATATAATATAATATAATATAATATAATATAATGTAATATAATATAATATAATATATAGCAAAACGGTCTCTCAAAGAATGTTCTTGGCCGAAGACCCGTATGTTCAGCACGTTGGACAGCGCGTGCTGAGTGCTCATGGGATTTGAAGTCATTTTCGCGCGGCTGTGCTTCACGGGAGACCGCTTTGAACTACCAGTCCCATGATTCCTTGCGCGGCGCCGCTTTCCCTGCTCGTCGGCATCATCGGAAACGGGCCACAAGGCGTCGTAGTAACCAAGCCGAATGGCTTACTAGAAACCAGAAATCATATTCTCCAAAATATTACGCCAATAACTCAACTCAAAGCGCCTTTACTCCCTCAACGCTGCGCCGAGTTCGCGGTGGAAGGGATTAATCCACCTGAACCAGCTCGCTCGGCTCGTTTCCTTCGTGTGAGAGTGAGGGTTTTTGCGCCTCAGAGCCGGTTTCTGATGATTCGGTGATCCGGATCACGCGAGGAATTGAAGAGTTTGCTTGAGGATCACCGGGAATCGAAGAGCTTTAGGCTGAAGTTGAAGAGCATGAAGACGTTTTTGGGGAAGGTCTGATCGTCGGCGCGATGCAGGGCTGACGGTTGAAATCGTGTAGGTTTTCTGAAATCCCGGAGGCAAACACGCCGACTTCTGCCCTTTAGAGAAGATTAACAGCACGATGGCTTTGAGGTTTGTCTCCTGATGTCTCTGCAGCCCTTTAAAGACGTCCAGACCTCAGTGTGCTGAAGGTGTCCGGCTTGCACGAGGTAGTTGTAGATGCATTTGGACCAAGATCAGCTGCTAGAGTTGTTTTTAACGGTAATGCACAGATGTAGCATGCTTTTTAAAGGCTTTTATACTCTAAAAACTCATGCAATGTTTGGTAGGTGTGACCAACTATTCCAGTATGAACATTTGTAATCACTCCTGACTCTTTCTTTGATTGCATTCCCTTTAATCTGGATCCAAATATCAGCATTTTCCCATCATTGTAGCCTGATTTCTTCATGACACCCATTGGGATCTTCAGACACCCTTCCCTGTATAGGTGACCCAGCTTGTGTTCCAGTTATGATGCCTGTGCTGCAACTTCAAGAGGGTGTTGAATGGTGGCAGTCCCATAGGGTTGGTTAAAGATCTGAACTGGTGTCCGAAAGGCTGTAGGTAGCAACCCTACAAGAGGTTAACCATCACCATTGTGTCTTTGACCTCCACAGGGCCCATCCCTGTAGAAAGTCCACTGTTAGTCAGCTAAATGACACTTTTGTGAATGGTAGACAGTTGCAGATCCTGAGAGCATGGCAGATAAGACGGCTCCCCGCTGTCAGCTGAGGCTGGAGTGGATTCATGGATACAGAGGCCATCAGTGCAGGAATAACCTGTACTACACCGCGGGGAAGGAGATCGTGTATTTCGTGGCTGGAGTCGGAGTGGTTTACAACACCAGAGAACACACACAGAAGTTTTACTTGGGACACAACGACGACATCATTAGGTATGACGATGCTCTTTACAACAGATACCAAATATCAAAACATCACAAATTTACCATGGAATTACCATGCACTATAATTCCATTGTAATTTTTTAAATGCCACAAGTAACATCACTTAATATGGCAATCATTCAGTACCATGGGTATGTATCAAGGTACCATGATGTTTTTGGAATATGTACCATAGTAAAGTCATGGCATTTTTGGAGTACCATGAAGTTTTCTTGGACATGTACCATGATGATGCCATGGTTTTAGGACTTATATCATTGGAAATACCATTAAATTCTTTGAAATGCTACAAGGTCTGATGTAAATACCATGATAATCATTTAGTACCGTTGTAAGTGACAAAGTACAATGATAATACCATGTTTTTAAAATATACCATGGTAATATGGTACTACTTACAATTTTTTTGGACAAATGCAATGGCAAAAGCCTGTGTTTCTGGACATGTGCATTGGTGATACCATGTTTTTTTTGTTTTTTTTGCATATTTACCATGGTAATGCCATTATATTGTTTTAAAAATCACTAGGTATGATATAAATATCATGGTAAATTAACATGACAATCATTCAGAATCATTGTATGCAACAACATACCATGATAATACCATGTTTTCTAATATGTACCATGGTATTTCTTGGAGAACCATGATATTGCAATATTTTGGACAAACATTATGGCAAAACCATTGGTGATACCATGTTTTTTTTGGACATTTGCCATGGCAATGCCATTGTATTTTTTAAAAAGCATGAAATTTCATGCGTACACCATGGTAAATTAATATATCAGCACCAATCATGATAACAAAATACCATGATAATACCATGCTTTCTAATATGTACCATGGTAAGGTCATGGTATTTCTTGGAGTACCATGATATCACAATTTTTATTGCACAAATATTGTGACAAACCAATTGGTGATACTATGGTTTTTTTGGACATTTGCCATGCTAATGCCATTGTATTCTTTTAAATGCCACAGCATTTAATGCATATACCATGGTAAATTAATATATCAATCAGCACCAATCACAGTAAACAAATACCATGATAATACCATGTTTGAATATGTACCATAGTAATGTCGTATTTCATGGATTATGGTATTAATATCACAGTTTTTTAGATACGTACCGCAGCAATTACAGGTATTTGTACTCTTATTATAGTATTGCTTAAAACAGAGTACCACATGAATACCATGGTACTTGAATAATCATTATATATCATAATACCATGACTGCACTATCATACGATAGTGTGTTTGTTTGCCCGTGTAGTGTTGACAGTAGTTGTTTCTCTCTGATAAAGCGGTTTGTATCTGAGACACCTGATGCTATCTGAACGTCAGCACGCATTTCCATCCGCACATTTATCAGACCGTCGTCTCCAAGAAGGATCAGTGCGTCCCAGCTTTACTATCTCATACGGCCGGCGAACAGGCGAGGGGTCAGGACTCGCTCGTATACTGATTATATCATTGAGCAGCAGCAGGATTCAGGAATGAAATGGGGTTCATATGCAGAGACGGCAGCAGGATGGCCCTAATGGAGGGCAGCGCTTGTGTAAAAAGCCTTTTCATGTTCCGCAAAGCTATGCGTTTTTTCTCCTGAAGGGAGGATACAGTGAGGAAGTGACCACGTTTTTTCCTCACTCTCGCCTCCAGGTGAACTCCTATAAAAGAGGACACTTGTGTTTCTGGCAGCGCACAAAAAATATTTAACATAAACTAATAAACTTAATGTGATGCATATTTGTTAGTCATACATAAATGAAACGGGTCAGATTTCTGTAAGACACCGTAAAAAAAAGATTTTTCAAATGTAAATAAAACAAAGATTATTGGAGTATGTTTTACAAGAAAATACTGTTTTTTATACTTTAAAATTCAATGTGTTACTTGCCATTTCTTTGTAATTAATTGTGAAATTTACAAGTAATTTCTGCGTGAAAATTGTTTCTACACCAGTTTTTTTACTAATAAATAAATGTGTTTTAAAGGCACAATTTATTTAATTAGTTTATATATTTATCATCAATAAATCAAATTTTTTTCAATCTCTTACATTTTAACTAACTGAATATTGCTTTTTCCAAAGTTATCCATATTTTAACCATGTTCATACATTTTAACTGAATAAATGTAATTGTTTTCACAATGAACAGATTCATGCTGATTCTAAGCAATTTGAATAGATGCATTTTGAAAATAATTTTATGATTTAAATAATCAAATAGATGCATATAGTCAACTATGCCATGTTTTCATTTATTTATTTATTATCACATTAAGTTTGTTTGTATCAAATGCATATAGATGCATACAATTAATAATAAACTATATACTGTTTATTTCGTTTGTTTATTCATTAATTTATTTGCATAACATTACGTTTATTAGTTTGTTTATAGTAAATGCATGCAGATGCGTATAATTAATAATAAACTATGCAATTTTTTCATTTATTTAGTTTGTTTATTTATTTATTTATTTGCATCACATTAAGTTTATTAGTTTGTTTATATTAAAACAGTAGTCCAAAATACATGTATATTTTATATGTAATTCAAATGCATCTTAAATTTAGGCTTCAATTTTATCTGAGTGAGGGTGAAAGATGTATTTTGTATTGACCATAGACCGAAAAATAATTCAGAATTATGGTTTATAGTTTGCATCTTGCATTTTAGTCATGTTTGCATGAATATTTGTTTTATGGACTGTGTTGTGACAGAAAGCCAAGCAGATTGAACAATATTTAGTCCCGTTTACATTTTCCCGACTGTCAAATCCACACATCGCCGGCTCTGTTTGTGCCCGAGGGTGGGATGCTATTCTTGTCATCCGATTCCATTCACAGTAGTTATCATCTTGCCCAGATCCTCAACAAACTGATCGCTCCAATACAGCTATCATGTTTGTTTATAATAATGTTTAATTGCTTGGTTAGAGTTAGAGTGCAGGTTACATTGAGTCACAGGATATGTGCTGCATTATGGGATGCGAGGTGTCTTGTTTTAGGCTGAGCCTGCAGATGATGGATTTGGTAATTAGTGTTGATTGTCTCAAATGTCCCATCACCTCGTTTAGCAGGTCTCTCTGTAATGTGCACCTATAAACGGAAACCACGAGACAGCCTTTGTGTTATTGCAGTAATTGTGTATGTTTATGGAAACTCTGACATTCAGTGTTGTTGGCTTTTGCCAGATTGTATTATATTAGAAACACACACACACTGGTCATGGTCGACGTAGACAGAAGAGTGAGTATATTAACCCAGTTCATCTCGCTGCCTGAGGGGGAACTTTGCTATTAAAAGTCATGTTAAAAGTACTATGAAACACACATGATGCCAGTGACGCCGAGGTATAAAATGTGCTTTTACTGCGGTGCAGAGCCACATCGAATGAACTTACACTGTCATTCTGGGGTACAGTAGAGCAGCCTTGTGTTTATGCAACAATTATTTAGTAACACTCCAAAGAGAAAGGAAAACTTGAAATCGCATCATATGACCCCTTTAAGATGTTAAGTCTTGTTTAAAAAAAAAAATCAAAATTAAGTGAGTTTATGCTTAAAACAAGAAAAAATATCTGCTTAAGAAATAATCTTTCTGACCACATTGGGATATTGAAATTTAAATCTAATAAATTGTTCAGAATACAAGACTAAATATCTTTATATAATTTAGCTCTTTTCGCTGTCATCATTCAAATCTGCAAAAAGTTCCGCCGCCGGAACTGTTGACCCCAGGAGGTTAAGTAAAATGTAGTTTGATTTAAGATTACATTTGTCATCACAAAAATGTAAACTGTATTATCACACAGGTTTATATATAAAGTTGGCTATATATGATATTATAAGGCCTGATTTTAGATTTTTTTTTGTGCAAAATATGACTATTATTGCCCAGCTCTTTACATAAAGTATACTCACATAAAGCATTCTGCTCGACTGTTTATATAATCGCAGAATGTAACTGTATTATATCTGCTAAATGCAATATTAAGATATTATAAACTAACATCATGATATTCTGCAAAGCTGCTTTGAAATTTATTCTCATGATAATTAAGCACTTTTCCCTCCAAATTCTTATTCTTGTAATGCATGTGAAATTTTCTTTGAGAGTTTTGCTGTAATTTTCATGATTCTCAGTGGCGTTTGTCATTCAGTTCTCTTTGTGTAAATTTAGCATCATAACATTATATAAAAAAAATTCGAAGTTGAAAATAAAAATTAAAAATTATTTGTTAAAAAAAATAAAAAATGATTGGAGTATGTTTTACAAGAAAATACTATTTCAGTCTTTCTATTTTAAACTTCATGTTTAATTCAATGTGTAATTTAATTCCTTGTAATTATTTTGAAATGTACTAGCAATTTCTGTGTAAAGATTGTTTCAAAGCAATCTTTTTCAGTGAAACAGAATTGCAAAAATAATGACTTTTCCCAAAAACTCAGATAGTGTCACCAACTCATGTTAATTTTTTATGCAAAATAAACATTAACTTCATGATTTTCCTGTAAAGCTGCATGGAAACAATGTGTTTTGTGAAAAGCACGATGGAAATAAATTTGACTCTTATATTTGTATTTGAGAACAAGACAAAAAAATACTCTAGGTTCTTAAGATCAGTGTTTTGGTTTTCCGGGTTCTTCTAAAGAACTGTGTTGAAATAGCTGCTGTTTTGAGTTGTCTAGATTATCCGTGACTATAGTAAAGACTTTAGTTTTGGTGAGTCAAAGAGCTCATTGTTGTAGTTTCTCTCAGCATGAAGGGCAAGTGTGGGGTCACTCTATCAGCCCGTATCTGACCCCGAACACAGCGAGATTAGCCCAACATTTGAGCTCTTAACAGAGGGCAGACGCTCCGTGGAATTACTGTAAGCTCAAATTCCACGCCGTCTCATCCAGTGCCGCGTGTGACAGTAGGGGCGGACTGGGACAAAAATTCAGCCCTGGCACTGTAGCCACACCG